ACTATGTCCCGGTGTGCTGGGTTGATAACATCCCCGAAATGAGCTTAGAAGGAATATAATGTTGAACCCTACAGGTAGATGAATATCCGACATAATGGTTAATGATCTGAGTGGTACTAGTTTCAGAAATGAATAAGAAGTTGATTAATTATTTCATCAGTAATTTAATTAATCAACGGACGTTATACCTTAAACATAGGGAGGTGATTCGATCAATTAGATTAATACTCATTAATTAAGTGGAGGTTCGAATTTATTGAATAAATTAGAGCTAAATGGGGAGAGCAATAATATTAATCTAGTGGGATGTTTTATTATTTAATTTTATTTAAAAATTAGGAATTAATTGTATTCCATAATTTAGATTCCCTAAAGAGTGAAATATTTCTTCTAGAATATTATCTAGGGTTAGGAGACTATGGAGTCTTCTATAAGGTAATTAGGGTTAGGAGGAATGTGTATCCTTGATTGGAAAGGATATAGAAAATGATTACGATTTCTAAACCAAATGGGATAAGCCCATATTTAGCACCTCCTTAAGTCCCTAATGTAGCCTATAAATACACCATGTCCCAACCTCTTCCCCGACTTATGTTTGGTTGATTATAAGGTCTTCTCGAAGAGAGGAAAATCGAGCATACACAATATTGAGAGTTCAAGAGTTCCGATTAATCGCACCACCAAGATTATTCGAAGAAGGTGGTTAGGTAATAAATTAGAAGGTCTTGAGGTACAATTTATTCGAGCCCTTTTAGTACATTAATTCCAGTAACCAAGAGCCACCGCCCTCAGCTGTCGAAGCCTCCGTCCGCCGCCGGAAGCCGCCAGCGCCCAGNGATGTACGCGAGCCCTAATCCTCGTAGGCCTAAGAAACGTACCGCGCACGCCCAGATCCTGCAGCACATGCTTGACATCCACATGCCACGCCTAGTCCGCACCTACTGAGGAAGGACGCAGCACACGCGCATGATAACCATTAAAGCCGCACGCGAACGGCAGCGCCCCATCCGCGAGCACCAGCCAGTGCCCGACGCGCTCCTGCCCTTGACCCCGACATGCCAGACGCCGAAGTTGACCCGTAGCCACTCGACCGAGGCCAGCCACAACTTACAGCGACCCGACCGAGCCTAGCCCAGTCCGACCAGCCCGAGCCCGATGTGCTAAGTCCTCGGCGACCCGTTCAGGTCCTGACGACCCGAATCCAACCGAGGAGGCCTAGTCCGACTGCCCAACGGGCTCCTACAAAGGAAATCATAAACTTCTCAGAGTCGGGAAAAAAAAATAAACAGTAATGACCTAACCTTAGCTATAGATTTTGTTGCGTTAAAGTTTATTTCGATAGATTCTAATGTGCACATCGTTGACGTTCCTAATAGAACCCAACACAGAGGGCCTTCATCACCCTCTCGATCTAGAAAGATGTCGACCTTGCCTAGCTGAGGGGCAAGGTCACTTTCGGGCCTGGGGTTTGGATTTTTGCACCTTACCCCGGGGAGCGGATTCATTGCCCGCCGCTGAGATGCGGTGGGGTATATTTCCATAGTGTCCTCATGGGTTTGCGGTTCTCTCTGCCCGGTGTGTTGAACTAGATCCTTTGTGAGGTTGGCATTGGTATCAGCCAACTGGTGCCGACCGTCTTTGCGAGGATAGTCACTCTAGTTGTCCTTTCAGGAGCCAAGGTTGGGATGATCCTACCGGTGAGGAAGTGAGAGCTTTGTTTGCTTTCAAAAAGTCAGGGGACTTTAGAAATTATTATAGCTCGACCTTCCCCAGCGTCGACAAGACTCTGGTGGCCGAACTTCCCAAGACCCTCCACGGCTATATGCCTGAATGTTTTTGGTCGGCAGCGAATGGCGAACGGAGGATGCTTCTCAGAATATCTCAACTACGCCCTTTGCGTTACTCGATTCACATAGTAAATCAGATATTTCACCATGCCTTCCTCCCACAATACCACCGAGCTCACCGCCACTGCCCCCATCGAGATATAAAGCACCAAGTCCTCTCCTTGCACTGGTTTGTCCCTCCCACATACGATGCCAAAATGGTACGTAAAAGACCTCTGACTAGCTGGATTCGTCCTGATCTCAAGATCCTCGCCGATTGAACTACTTAAAACCTACAAAAAATCTCACACTAGAGGGGTTTTCTGGTGAAAAACCTCCGATTCTTAAGTTAACACTTGTAGAAGATGAAGTGCAATATAAGTGTATGAAATAATGGAGAATGTAATATACTAAGTCCGGATTTAATATTTGGCCCCGAAAATTACTTACATTTCAGAATGAGACTCGGACCGAAACTCACGGACCAAAACTGACACGAACCGCCGGTTTGCTGACTGGCCGGACCGCCGGCTCTCTATGAACCGGGCAGTCGGGCACTGCTCGGGTTGACCGGGTTCGGTCCCGCGTTGGGCCTGTTGGTGGCCTGGAGCGGCGCTGGGCACTTCTGATGGGCGCGCTGCTGGGGCACGTCCCGAGGCCAACTAGACTCAACAGATACGGGACTGGCGTGGCCAGACGCGTCTCGCGCATTACCGGGCGTCCCGGGTGGCTCTGGGCACTCGGCGTGCTGTTGGGGCACGGGCCGAGGCCGACTGGTGCACGGGGTCGTGGGGTTGGCACGACACTGGCGCGACTGGGATCGACAGACCCTACTCGGGTCGTCCTAGGCACGACACGAGGCTCTAGCGCGAGGCCTCGTGCGCTGGGACTTGGCACGGCGCTGTCGGGCGCCATGCACGCGGTTGGGCACGTCTGGTGCCGACACCACGCTCTCGGACACGAACTCGCGCTGCTGGGCGTGGTCGCGTGTATTGGGGCTCCCGTGCGTCGCACCTACAAGGCGCGGGCACGAGCAGAGGCGAAACTTAGCCTCTGAAGGGCGCGAGTAGGCGCGGGGCCGGCTGCGCTCGCGGTAGGCGCGACCAGTGACCATGGCCGGCCCTTGCTAGCTATCCGACGACTTTTCCGGTGACATGCAACTCATATCAACATTTTATGATATAAAAGACATAAATAGCACATAAAACACTAGGGGAACTCGAGCATGCATGGACTCGGCCCGGTAGGGCAAATAAGGCACATACGGACATTAGGGCACAGAACCAACTTCTCAATCTATCACATATGACTAAGGCTGAGTTATAAGCAACATAAAACATGACTAATGAGGCTGAATTCAAGGGCTATACTCGCATGCATCAAGATAGGGCTCGGAGGTGAAAATTTCACACAAAATCATGAACGAGTGGACCGAACAAACGAACTCCAAACATGCTCAAATTTATTCACTATCTTTCTCATGATATATAAGGGACATTTAGCTAACAAACTCGACTCAACCATGCAATGTACTAAAAATCCGAATTTAAGCCCTTAATTTCTTAAAATTCGAAACTCATGTTAAAACACATGCATGGCTTGATTTTTCTTCATGATAAATCCTAAAATATCATGAATAAGCTGAGGAAAAACGAATTGCTCGAGCTAACCTTCACCGAAAATGAAAAATGGCTACTAGGGTCTTGGTAGGGAATGCTCGCGGCCTTGGGACTTGTGGCTCGTCTTGGGGTGGAAATGGCTGGTCTTAATGAACTCAAAGGACTTATAAAAATCCAATAAACAGTTGGAAGTCGATAAGCCCTGAGAGAACTAGCTTGGAACACGAGATGGCCGGTGCTTCTCCTCCCCAGGGTGCGCGCGGGCGCGTGTGAGGCTAGGGGTGTCCTTTGTTTTTCTCTCAATTTCTCACTAGTGTTCGAGCTATGGAGTGTCAAAGAGCTTATTTGCCTCTGAAGAATGACGTTTATAAAGGGTTAGGGGTGGATGGTTCAAGACTTGGTCAATGGGGGACAAAATGGAGACATTTCTCTACCACATGCACTTAGGACTTTGGGGTGGTCTTGGACTTGTCTTGCACGGTTTTTGTAGTCAACATGAGTGGGTTTTCAGAGCACATATCTTGAGGTAGACGGTCTGGTATTGGGAACAAAAAATGGGGAACATATCTCCACCCTAGGTCATTAAAATATTCATTTGTCCCCCCACTAACTTAGACTAAGGCTAGATGACTTTGATTTTGACTTGACTAGGGTCAAATGGGCTGAATTAATCCCTTAATAATCTAGTTGCATTCCCACAAATTTGGGCTCGAGAGAAGTTGGCTAAAATTTCATGAGTTGGGCTCGGTTGGTGGGTTGCGCTGAATTTGGGCATGCTGGCCCTGGACTGGCCCTGTGCCTGGGCGCTGGGCTGTGCGGGTTGCGCACGGGAATGGACTTAGGGCGACTTCCCAAGGCTTTATAAGGCTTAAATGATAAATCTAACACTTAGGAAAATATACCAATGCTAGGCTATGACTTGAACCAAACTCAATTATGCTAGGGCTCAGGGATTGGACTCGCGCAGGGCTCGAGCGTGCTAGCTTGGCTCGAGAAAACTTGGGCCGAGAATGCTTAGTTCTAGGGCTGATCTCGAGACATAAAAACACTTAGAAAAATTCTAAATGTTATACTACTAAGGCTCGCTAGGGCTCGGGGTCGTGTACACTCGGCCCGGTGCCTTGGCAGGGGACTAGGCGCGAGGCTCATGATCGAACACACTTGGTTCTGGTCACGAATTGACTTGGACGATTTCTTGAAATATACTCGATTTTGATTATTCGTCATCTTGGGATAATTAATCCCGACTTCTGAAGTCCAGTCTAAAATAGACGGATCGGAATTAATTACTAAAACTGACTCGGTCACTGAATAACATTTAACCAAGTATTCTCTCGACTCAAAGTCGAACTTTGAACCGGATAATCTCACCTACTCGAGTAATAATCGAGCGCTTAAGCATATAAATTCCCATAATCAAATGTCTCGGGAATCTGAAAATACCGATCTCACCCTATAATCGAGCGAGTGAGATCGTTCTTAGAATATAACTGATCGGGCCGTTACATCTTGCATACCCATGTCAGCCACAAATGCTTTAAAACCTGCCTCTGTTCTAACCTGCCCCGTTTCTTCTCAAAAGAAGAGAGAATGTCATTCCAGTCTCCTGACATACACCAATTGGATCCCCATTTTTCTTTTTCCTCCACAAGGGTTGTCCATTGAGTTTCCCTTTCTGTTTTCAAAACACTCAGATACACAAAGATGACCCAACAAGCAGTTGTACCTGATGAAGGAATGAAGTTCACAACAATGATAAAATTAGAACTATAAATATTTACAATCTGAATTTTGCATCCCATAATAGCAAAAGACCTCCACTGCACCCTCTGGGCTCCACAATATGATTCCTGGAGCTATAACCAACCTTGTGACAAACAGAAAGAGTACATTTTTTGGAATTTTTTTTTTACTTCTGTAAGGAAAATGAAGTTTGGGTGGTGGCACCTAATGGCATCCTTGAGTTGGGGAACTGTAAAGGGGCCACCCAGACCCAGACCTCTACAGTTCCACACCAGTTCATTCATTTGTTCTCAGAGGGCCCATTAGGGTTGGCCCTCTCTACCCTTACCAAGCTGGGTTTTGGTTTCTTGCCTCTGCCTTCTGCTTGAATAGAAGTTTCCTCAAAAGTTGGTGTTTCATCTTGATTGTCTCTTCCCCTTTTTAAAATGGCAGCAACAGTTGGTTTGGGGTTGTCCTTCCTCTGGAGTCTGCCATCTGATTTAGCTGTTCTTTTCCATGTTCTTCTGGTAGAGGAGCTAGGCTGAGACGCCATTGCAAGAGACACTATTGGTAGTGGCTGTTTTGTGAGTTTTTCCACTTCAGCTGATTCAACAATGATGAGTTGTTTGTCATTGTTCATCTGCCCTTCTATACTCATCTTAACTGGGGTTTCCACCATGGTTAGATCAGAAATTGTAGGGATCGGAAAAGCTTTTAAGCCATTTCCTGATTTCTCATGATGTTGGTAGAGGATTTAGGAGTCCCTGAGTATAAAATTGGAGACGTCTTAAATGGGGTACCTGAGTCCCCATAGCAAGCTGTGATTCAGTGGGGTTAGAGTGAGCTTCTTTTGGTTGTCCTGAAGAGGAGCTTGAGTTGTTCCAGTTAGAGCCCATGGGAGAATCCTTAGCTCTAAGCCAATCCCCGAAACTGTCCTTCCTTAAGAACTTTGTTCTTAATGACTGCCATTCTTGCTGAACAAGTTCTTTCTATATGGCCAACCCTACCACAATAGAAACACAAATTTACCAGTCTCTCATACTTGAATTCAACTGAGACGATTTGATCTCCTAGACGGATATTAGCGCATAGGGTAAGGGCCTCTGTCAGATTGATTGTCACCAGCAGTTTAATGAACCTGCCTCCTTGATTCACCGAGTTAACAACCAGAACATTAGAGACATCATGGAAAATTTTCCCCACTTTGAGTCCCACCTCCGTTGTTATCCAGTTCAAAGGAATCTTATGCACTTGGACCCAAAGCTTTAGGAGATTGAATCCTTCATGATTGGCCGACATTTCTTCCTCCATAGTCGAAGTATTAAATACTGGTTTTCGAATAACCAGTTGGTGCCACTAGCGACCTTCTCCATGTCCTCCTTATTGTAAAAAATAAATTGAAAGAAATTGATTCCAAGCTCTCGATCTTCCATAGGGTTCTGTATTTTCCAAATGAAACCCATAGAATTCTTAATACCTACTAAGCTTGCCCGCTTGTCTTCTATGAATTTGTCGAACAAACTCGTGTGCATTCTACTTCACTGGCCTGGACATCGCCTTCTCCCAAATCAATTATAGAGGATTCTTTATCTGAGAGTGAGAAAGCTTTGAGATTTTTGGTTATGTCCTCCGATGCACTCATCGTGGATGAGTTAGCCCACCCTAGAAGACCTTTTTTGAAAACCCTAAAAATTTAGGGGAAATGGTTCATAATCGAGAGGATTCCTCTCTGAGCAGTCTCAGAAATGAAAACCCTCCTGAAGACGGAAAAGAAAACCCTCCTGCAATGGGATGAGGGCTCTCCGGTGAGAGAATGGAAGCTCTCCGGTGAGAGAATCCACCCAATATTCCAGATATACTTTTTAAAAAATATAAAAACCATACCTTTTTTATTATTTAAAAGATACCAATTGTTTATTATATTAACTGCCTAATAAATTAATTTTTATATTTAATTGTGACAAAATGGATACATATTAAATAAAACAAATAATAATTCATAAAATATTTTCTAGAATTAAAAATAATATTAAGAAAATTTACTTTTATATTAATTATTTATAGTCTTTTTCTTTATTTCACAATAAGAATTACAATTCTTTTTCATTTTTTATTGAAAATTAATTTTTTATGAGACACCAGTCTAGTACACGAGCGTTGTACTAGTATAACCTTATTTATTATCCATGTAGAGTTGGAATTTGATTTTTTGTTCCAAAATTATGTTTTATTTTGATTGATAAATGATAATTTTAAACTTATAAACGTGTCAATCATCCAACAGAATGAAAATAAAATTTGAAATATGTATTGAAATATGAAATATTTTTTCAAAAGAAGTTTTCTTGTAGGTGCATTAATTACTGTTATAGGAAAATTTGTGCTTATCTAGGCAAAAAATCTTTAATAACAACTCATTGGAAAGTTACCTTTTTTATTTTTTTTTTCCAAAATGACAATGAAAGTTACCTTTTTTTTTTTTTTTTTTTTTTTTTTTCTTTCCAAAATGGCAATTCTTTTGATAGGAAAACTTTTGTTTGGTAAATTTCTATTATTTTTTTTCTACATTTTCTAATCTTTATTTGCGCTGGTTGTTTTGTTTTATTTTAAGGTTTATCTAGTCCATTTATTTATCTATACTTATATAATAAGAATTAAAATTTATCCAAAATAGTAGGTCAAATTATAGTCTATGTCGGATTTGCATTAAATATTTTCTAAAACCGGTAAGTTTTTGTCCTTTTCACACTTCTCATTAATTATGTCCTTTTCACACTTCTCATTAATTATGTCCTTTTCACACTTCTCATTAATTATGTCATTTTCACACATCTAATTAAATTATTCCATCGGAACTTTTATCGTTAAAATGTATAGCGATCTGTTATGACCTTATCCCATTGATATTTCCATGAAGCATCCTTATCGCGTTCTATTTTTTTGTAACCACTCTATATCAATAACCGGATATTTGGTTAATGATAGCACACGTCTTTATTTCAAGGAGCGGATATTCTTTGATATTTAATTAATCTGAACTGTATGCCTTGACTTTTCAATTTTTAAAAACTCTTTTTTTTAAAATAACTCATTGTTAGCTTACAAAATTTATCACATAACGAGTTTAAAAAATCTCATCCCTTATCTATCCTATTAAAAAATAAAATAAAATAAAATAAAAACTAATTCACTTTAAAGTCTAATTTGTAATTACTATGGTAAATCTATTATCTAAATCAAGATTCTTTTTAAAAAGCTAATTTTTACCTGTCTAACTTTTAATATTTTTTTAAAATATTATTAGCAAATAATATTTTAGATACTTTTAAACATTATTTGTACAATTTGTTTACACATTTCCTCTCTCTCTCTCTCTCTCTCTCTCTCTCTCTACACATGTATGGAGGTTAGATTCAAGTATTTTAGACATGATAATTTTACATTGTTTGACCTCACATCTTTAATTTATATTTATTATTTAATATTGTTTATCTACATCTTTAATTTACAAGTATTATTTTTTCTTCCACTTTTTTAAAGAGGATCAATAGTAATTCGCACTTCTTCCATTGAGTGACTCAAACTCGAGTCCTATTTATAATTACTATTTAATGTTGTTTTTCGTGCATCGCACGGGCTACACACTAGTTTATTAGAAAAGGAAACGAAATATAATTTATGGTAACAAATTGTGGAAGAAAGAAGGAATAGATCAATCACGGATGTAATTTGAATATATCGACATTTAATGCAATTCAGGTCCGATTGTATTTGTATAAAAAATTATATATACAAGACTAGCTCGAAAATATGATTTCCGCCACGTAAAATGTCAAGTGTGCGAGTCTGTCACTTAGGCGTAAAGCATATGAGAATTATATATAGAGAGGATTATCACCCCAATATATAATTACCGAATGCGTTGAGCCTTAATAGATTCTCATGCTTCGCAATCCTATGTGGCAAAAATTCATGCTTCGGAGTCAGACGTGGATATAAATTAATATTTTCGTATACAAAAATAATTAGTCTTGGATTTTATTTAATGTCTATTATTCATATTAAATCCTTGATTGATATTTTTCTTATTTTCTTCTACAATTGTTTACCATAAATTATATCATGTTTCCTTTTTCTACATTCCCACATATTACATTTTTTTTTCTTATATAATTGATACGTCAATTATTATCAATGTTTTTTCTTCTTATTTTCAAATTTTTCTAACTTTTTTTTGCTTGTATTTTATATTTCATATATGATATATCAAATTAATTATCTTTTAACGATCTCCGATTTGACATCCATATTATATATATAATACAGAACACTGATATATATCCTTATAAAGAAAATTTAAATTTATTTATCAAACTAAATTAATAAATATCAAATAAAACTATAAATTATCTTATTAAACAATAGAAACTTATGTGTATTAGCATACTATAAAATAGTTATTCTATTTGAAGAAAAAAAAATGTAAGCTAAATATGAACATCAAATTAATACAAACAAACATTTTAAGGTTCATGTCTCAACTTAAATAAAGACTACATGAAGAGTGAAAGTTATAATGGCTTTGAAAAAAAAAAAAAAAACATTATAATTAGAATAATAAACATACTCATTATATTTCATAAAGTCTAGTCTCATTCACATTATATTTTAAATTATTTGAATATTATAAAGTTGAAAACATTTTAAAAAAAAATAGATAAGGGAAGAAACATGTATAAATATAAAATATTATTATAATATAATCAAACATGAAAATTTCAATTTAATTCAAAATTAAATTATTGAGTTGTAAATAATTCACAAACAATTATGGAGCAAACATTCTATATACAACAAGTTAACCATTCCATATTCTCTGATTACTCAAATTAATACTAATAATTTTATTAATATACTTGTCGTATATAGAAGGTTGGCTCCACTATGGAGTCAACTAACGGCTTCATAGCAAAACGGTAATAGTATATAATATTTAAAAGGTATACAAACCATACCTTTTTTTATTATTTAAAAAATATACTAATTATTATAGGTTAGAATCAAATAGGATAATATTATACTATATAATATTGAAAAGGTATACAAACCATACCTTTTTTTATTATTTAAAAATTATACTAGTTATTATAGTTGAGAATCAAATAGGTATGATGGTAGAGATTATTCTTTCCTATCTTTTTTTTCAACCCAATATTCAAGATATACTATTTAAAGAGTATAAAAACCATACATTTTTTCTTATTTAAAAAATACCAATTGTTTATTATATTAACTGTCTAATAAATTAATTTTTATATTTAATTTTGACAAAATGGATACATATTAAATAAAACAAATAATAATTCATAAAATATTTTCTAGAATTAGAAATAATATTAAGAAAATTTACATTTATATTAATTATTTATTGTCTTTTTTTTTTTATTTCACAATAAGAATTACAATTCTTTTTCATTTTTTTTATTGAAAATTAGTTTCTTATGAGACACCAGTCTAGTACGCAGGCGTTGTACTAGTATAACCTTATTTATTATCCATGTAGAGTTGGAATTAGATTTTTTGTTCCAAAATTATGTTTTATTTTATTTGATAAATGATAATTTTAAACTTATAAACGTGTCAATCATTCAACAGAATGAAAAAAAAAATTTGAAATAT